AGAAGCTGAGACTAATTTCAATTTTCAACGTAATTCACCAACAATTCCAGCACATTTTAATTCAACACAGCGATTAGGCCATTTCGTGATCATAATCATAATCATGATCATCATATTTTTCCCACATCCCCCACTTGATCTCATCGGACGCATCATTTCACGTGAAGATTAGTCACCACAGCACACACACACAGATTAATTGAACTAAACAAACATATAATCAAATCGACCACTTATCTCTTTTTTCCGCCTCCTTTTCGACAACGCCGGCGATTTAGCCGCCGGTGCGCTGGTTAAGCAGATCGAACGAACTCCTCGGCGTTCTCGGAAGATACACGATGGATTCCGAAACGCTGCAGGTCCGTTTGCAAGAAGAGTATAGATTCATGAATCCGAATCGATCGCTCAGGCTTCTAGAAACCGTCTTGCCATTGCTGTCGCCCCTCCAGAGCTCGGTGGCGGCGGCAGGTTCCTTAGAGCACTCTATGAAGGCGTCGAAGAAAGGATCACGCTGCAAATATTGGCAGTTCGATTTCCTCCAATCTTGAAATCCTAAGCGCTTTGACGAGGGTTGGGTGGAGGAATTGGGAGGTAAGGGGAGGAGAGAGGTCAGAGGAGAGGCGGAATCCCGCCGGAGCCTTGCTGGAGACTGTTTCTTGGGGATTCCAGGCAAATGTTCCCAAGAGAACGGAATACTGCCGGAGAATGTTCGGACCGGAGTGGCGGCGGCGGAGAACGGAGAGTTGTTGGGAAAATAGCAAGAGCCACGGGAGGAAGAGGAGGAGGAGGAGGAGGAGAGGGAAGAGGAAGAAGAAGAAGAGAAGGAATGAGAACGGCGGGAAGATTGAAACATCGTCTCTCTTCTCACCGAGTCTTCACATTCTTTTTTCTCTAGAGAATTTGGGAATCGGGATTGGCCTTTTGTGCACACAAAACCACTTCAAGTTTCTAAGAAATTTATTTCTTAGATATATATATATACACACACACAAAAATGTGAATTATTATTATCATTATTATTTAATGCAAGAAAAAGGGAAACCCACGGGAAGTGGAGAGATAAAGTTTTCATTTAATAAGAAAAGGATCTTTTTGTGGTCTGGAACGTGATTAAGTTTTGGGGTCTCTTTTTTTTCTTCCAAAAAAAGCATCCTTTTAATTTTAATAAAATAATAATCTCCTTTTCTCTATCTTCTTTGTCAACGCTTGTTTATGTTTTAAGTAACATCTAATTCAAATTAATTATTTTTAATTTAAGCATATCTCGATGGAAAAATCTCAAATTCTCAAAATTTTCAATACTAAAAAACCAATTACAATTTTTTTATTTTCAGATCTAATAAAAACTCTAAAAAGCACATAGAGAGTGGCTCCAAATAGGTTGTTGACATGAAATGAAAAGGAGACTATGAATATAAAGATGGAAGGCCTAAAAAGGAGTTGGTGTTGAGATTAGAGGACCAAACATGATTTGAAGTACAAGGATTATTGGTTAAAATATCCAAAATTGTAAAAAAGAGGAATTATTGGGGCATCTCATGTATTTGATGTCATTGAAAGAGGCATCCAATATCATAATATACCCAATTAAACACATTAAATTCCTTACTTAAAACAATCAAAGACAACAAATAAAAGATTTGGATCTAATAATTAATTCTTTTTGCCGTATTGACATTTTTATCAATCAATTAAACTCGATGAAATGGGGGAGTAAATGGCATAATTAATAACCGAGAGAGAGAGAGATTTAGCCACTAACTCATAAGCCACGTGCCACATTCATATTGGCTGGGAGTCCACGGTTACCGTCTGGCCTTTAACGTTTCCTGCATTCCCGCCCAGAAAATTCTTTCAATTACTTCTTTTTTCCGTTAAATAAAAAATTAAAAAAATAAAAAGAGAGAAGAAAAAGGGATTTTTCAAAATACAGAGGTCAAAAGGTTTCATTGAGATTGAGAGTTGTCAAAAAAAAAAAAAAAAAAAAAAAGTTGAAGACAGAGGGGATCCGTATCGATCATGTGGTTAAGCCATGGTTTTCTCGCCCTAGCTTCCGGTAACAGTGCCCTTCTCTCGAGGCGCGGCTCAGCGGGTAGCCGGTCGGAAGCCACTTCTGCACGCAACGTTTAAAGGTGGTTCTGCAAACCGCGCGCTGATGGCGGCTCCGAGGAATCTGACGCCGAAAGACGAAGAGAAGGCGGAGATGGACAGTCCGGCGGCGAAGAAGCTGAAATCTGAGAGATATCCTCTCTCGCGGTGGGGACTGGCGGTGGCTCTAGGCAGTTTTTTGGTTTTCTCCGCTGCGCTCTACTGCATTTACAGTAAAATGCTGGCCTCCCACTTCAAGAACATCAAGCTGCCACGTTCCCTCACCGATCTTCGAATGCTCAAGTAGGTGATTAATTTTTATAAAAAAGATTTTATTTATCTTTCCAATGGGATTGATTTCGAAAATGTTCTAATCGAATTCAATTGCTTCCTGCGCACTCATTTCATACTAACAATTCTTGCATCTTTATTCATTTCATGCTTAATATCTCCCGTGGCTTACATATTACTTCATTAGAGGAGCGAGTTGAGGTTAGTCCATGATAGCCGACTTGGTATAGACAGTGGCAGTAAATTGCTGTTTCCAGAGCCTAATCCAAGTGAGGCATTCGTTGGGACGAGGAAATTCTGGGATATTTTGTTCAAGCTTAAAGTTTTTAACCACCCGGGAGTAGTTTAGAGGTTGGAGGAAAATTAGAAAGTAAATAGACTTACGAGATGATAGTGATCCGGGACCAATCTAAGATAGAGATGCCCCTAAGATTAGGAGTAGACACTCCATAAAAATCTTTCAAATCCTCTCACATGTGATCCTCTCCAATCCCATTTTTTGATCGACCAGTAGAGTTCATTCTTGATCTCTTTCAATTCGAAAATCCAAATCACCGACCACGACACTTCAACTTCTTTATAAAATCAATTGGGGGGTGTGTATAGACGAGACTCCATAGTGATGATATTAGAACTAAAATTAGAAAAGAAAATATAGTATTTGGAGATTTGGAGACCTTGGAATTGTGTTTGGAGAGGTAGGTATGAATGAAGAAGTGGAGAGGAAGCTTTCAGAAATGACTAATGTTAAACTGGATAGCGACACCATAGCTTTCAGATAGGACACTGTATAACTTACGAGATATGATGCGACTGTCTGAATCCTCTGTTAGCAAACTAAGTCATAGAATTAGAGTCTATAATTAGTCTTTCTCAACTAATTCAACTGGTTTATCACCACCAACCACAACCCCTCCCCTCCTCTCCCAAAAATAAAAGAAAAAAGGAAAAAGAAAAGCTGTTATGTTTGATCCACCATAAACTCAAATACATGAGGCTTTGTTGTTGCATTTAAATATGTTGTGTTGACTTCGCCTTCTGGTTGGTTCCATTTGATGGTTTTCATTGCCATAGCAATTTAGACAATTTAGACAGCTTATGCCTATCCAAGATGCATTTTGTCTTTTAAATTTGTGAACCAGAAATCATCTTGGAAGCTACGCCAAGGGTCATCCTGCACAGTTCATCCTGGGTTATTGTTCCACCTACATATTTATGCAAACTTTTATGATCCCTGGAACAGTTTTCTTGTCATTGTTGGCCGGAGCTCTTTTTGGAGTTGTTAAAGGCCTTGTACTAGTCGTTTTCAATGCTACGGCTGGAGCTACTACTTGCTTTTTTCTTTCCAAGTTAATTGGTAGACCTTTAGTTTGTTGGATGTGGCCTGAAAAATTGAAACTTTTCCAGTCTCAGGTAAGGCCATTCCATCCTTAGTTTCCTTGACTATCTAGCACCCAACGTCAGGTGTTTTCCATTAGTCTAACCTGTGAGTATTGTGCATGTGGTTTCAGGTAGCAAAGCAAAGAGAGAAGCTGCTTAATTACATGATTTTTCTAAGGATAACACCCACGCTACCTAACATTTTCATAAACCTGGCATCGCCCATTGTTGATGTACCATTTCATGTTTTCCTTTCAGCTACGCTCATCGGTCTTGTTCCATCGTCATATATAATGGTTAGGGTAAGTTTTTTTCAGTCTCCCCGTGGTCTAGTCTAGAATATGTATTCACTAATATACTAAAGTCCATTTCTAGCAAAAGACGCATTTGTACATTTAAAATTTCACCTTCCACTTTCAGGTTTTGCCTCATCTTACCGGTTATTTATGCTAATGACCAAACCCGGCTGTCATCTTCATATTTATGTTCTAGTGGCTTTCTGAATATTTAAATATGAAAACGCTTTCTATTTATCATCTTCATATTTATGTTTTAGTGATTTTCTGGATACTTAATCAAGAAAATTATTTCTGTCAATCATCTTCATATTTATGCTTTATTGGCTTTCTGAACACTAAATTACTAGAACGATTTCTCTCTTTCACAGGATTCCCTTTACTTATCACACATGAATATTTGTTCTAACATGCACTTCTCCTTGCATTTTCATGCCCAACTTTTATAATTGAGTTTCTAATCCTCTTTCTTTGTTCAGGCCGGTCTTGCTCTAGGGGATCTCAAATCCGTCAAGGATTTATATGATTTTAAAACCTTGACTGTACTTTTCTTCATCGGTTCTTTGTCCGTACTTCCCATTCTTCTAAAGAGAAAGCGAACCTATCAATGAAGATTCTGCATACAGAATTTTGTACTAATACTAGTTCTTTAAACATAAGTTATCAGAGGATCTACCGTCTTCTGGAATGAAAGAGAGGAAATTCTAAGTCAAACTATGGCAGTGATGTGAGCTTCACAAGTTCCAAGTATCAAGGATTTCCCCCTACTCACAAGAACCCTAATGGGTGTTCGGTGTTTATTTACCGAATCATCTATGGAGCTTATTCTTTTGCACTCTGATTTCTTCTACAGCACAGTATTAATTTTTCATTATTTTTACCCAGAAGTATTAGGAAAAGACTTGGACCAGTGGCACATCTTGTGACACGGCATTAACATGTAAATATAGAAACTTGCATCTTGAAGTCTAGATCTTTTTACAGAGTTGAGTGTTGGGTATCAACATGGAGATAATATTCAGCCTTGACAAACAACAATTCAAGTGTTGCAATCTAAAAAACTTTAACTGAGTTTACAGAAGATGAAACTCACTCATTATGACGCCATCTTCACCCAACTTCAAGGGAGGCTACAGCATCCTCTAACGGTGCAACCCAACCTGGCTGTCTGGAACAACCTGTAGAACGCCTGGTTGTTCTGCCAAGTAAAGCAGATAAATTTGTTTGGTTGTTATCAGCTAATGAGTGAACATCAATCTAAAACAACATCAAGGCAATTATTGCCACTACTAGACAACAATTGACACAGGACTTTCACCATCTTGAAGGCAATTATTCAAGTATATGTTAAATTAATAAATCAGATGTATTCGTTGATAAGAAGCCAGATTTGAATTTACTACTAAAGTTATAAACATATAAACCCAAAATTACAGAGAAATCTGATACTTATTAGCAGAACAATGCTAAATGGAAGATGATAACTTGCTGGGGGTAACCTCTATTGATTTTGTCCTTTTTACCTACCATAACTTACAAGCTAAATGTGAACGCTACATTCACAGGTTTTAAAGAGTAATTTATATGAAGAAACTAATTGTCAAATTCTCTTTTATTGATTATTGAAAAAAAAAATTGAAATATTATTTATCTTGAATTATTTCGTAGCTATCACATAAATAAGAAGAAAATTGAATGAGGAAGAAAAAAAATAATTGAAAGAGAAATTTCTGTAAATACATGGAACATTCAATACGGGAAGTTTCTGTAAGCACAGGAGGGACGAAGATGAAACACATGACATAAAGGAGAGAGGAAGGAAACCCAAACGTATGGAAATGAGGTGTAACCCATGGGTGGGCATGGGTGTGGGTTTTGGAAGCCTAAATCCAAACATGGGATGTACTTGGGATGCCCTTTGCTACGGAAAGTACAAACAATGATACAACGATGAATGCAGAAGATGCAAGCTACACAAAGCTTGAGTCATCCTTTGATCTATCTTACTAAAACGCATGATGTGAGTTGTGAAGAAGATAAATCCCTAGACATCAACCTCGATCCAATTTAAACAATCGATTTCGTATACTAGTCAATCGATCCACTGAAAACGATGAAGGAAGTACAATCAGTAGCAACAGTCTCCTATGTTTATAACTTAATTATCTAATCAAGAACGCGACTACTGAAGCTAGACTTACGGGAAACTCGAGAAACCTGGTCGGGAGTGAGCTTTGCAGAGAATCCACTAACAGCCGTTTTGTAACTGTAAATAAGCGCATCCTTCGCAGCTTCCTGACTGCAAACGCAAACGAGCTAGCATTTGTCCGATTAACTTCTTTTGCATTTCGAAAACATGAACTGAAACTAATGAGAAGAGCACAGAGAAACAAGCGACGAACCTGCCGAGAGCAGAGGCTAGGGTTCGGATATGGAAATCCTTGGGGTCCTCATCCCGAGGACTTTCGGTGTACACGATGTGAACTGCAGGCCGTGAAGACGGCGCCGAAGAAGCGATGGAAACGGTTGAAGAAGTTTCATCGGTCTCAGCCATGGCGGAGGATATGGAAATGGTAAAGAAAGACACGACGAGGAACAATAAGGCCCTTGCCGCTGGTAACGTACTCCGCCATGCGTCCATCATTCTTGTTTAATACGATCCTCTCGGTTCAAACAGTACTCACAGGGAAAAGATACACTTCACAGTAGGTCCCACTTTATGGATTACTGAAACGAATTTGACGCCACATTTATGGTCTTTTAAAATTAAATTATTGGAAGCCTTTACTGTCCAATAAAACACACAATTTTAAACTTTTAATTTTATATTCATTAATTCTAAAAGATAAGAATTTAAATAGACCCAAATTTCAAAGTTTTCGAGACTAAAACAACTGATGTCCTATGTTTAAAAAAATATATATGTATCATTTCAAGTTAATATTAATCATGAATTTGAAGTAAAAAGCCTCACCGACATAAACCGGATGGGATCGATCCTTCCCAATGATGCCAAATGTCATTTCCACGTTTGTGTTACTCAACGTTTTGGTATCAGTTTGCTGTAAGAAAAAGAAAAATTCAAAAGCAATTCATCAGAAAAGCACAACAAAACGGTACACGAAAAGTTTGACAAAAGTCAATGTTCTCTTCTTTCTTCATTATGAACATATATATACACACGATTATTCGGTCAACATTCCAGTTTTGAAGTCCACATGGTATGCATCTTTTGCAGCTCTCGGAGGTCATTGGACTTCAAAGACATTTTGTAGAGCTCCCTCAACCTTGAGGCTTCACCAGATCTGTTGGGTGTCATATGAGGTTGAGATGCAGAAGATTTTCCTGAACTCGTTGGAAGTGTCATTCCCACCATTTTCTTCAATAGAATTTGTAAATGATTCCAAAATTTTGAATGTATCTCGGAGTACTTCGTTTTTAGAGAATCTGCATCAGTATCGGAAACGTGTCGTCCTTCAAGCATGCGAGACAATGCCAGTTCTAGCATCTGTAGAGGAAAACAAAAAATTTACCACGTGAAAAACAACAGACAATGAAACTATTTTCGAGAATGGTCAATGGCATGACTGATCGTGTCCAAGAAAAGCCTAACGAATGGCCCAGCAAACCAAACAACATCAATAGTAAAGTGCTTAAGGTTATGACAGGAAATATTAAAGAGGGAAAGAGTCATACCGCATTCGAGTGTAACGAGATCGACAGGCTTAATGAAAGAGCTGATCGTTCAACCAAAATGGTCAGAAACATCGTGGGATGTGTTTTAGGGCCATAGAACTCCAAGGCTCTCTGCCAGTTCCTCTCAGCCAAGGAAGCATACTGCTTTACCCGTTGGAGAATGGCGTTATCATCTTTAGACAAGCTCTTTTTCCAGCCATCCGACTCCAAATACTTCAAAGAACAATTCTTTTGATAACAAGCTAGTTGGAAATAAGCATATGCAGCTTCCTGTTTACGCATGTCACCCAGAGATTCATATATTGATAGTGCCTCCCTAATGGCATCATTTGCTGAAATCTTATGCTTTTTCTTCAATCCTTTCTTAGCTCCTCTATTGTTAGAATTTGTGTGAAATGACCCAACATCTTCCAATGTTTCAATATCATGTACCTCGTTTATATCTAGCCTTGCCAAAAGCATACCAAGCCTTAGATACGTGTGAGCAAGCTGTGTGTGAACCTCAGTCCTCAGGTTGCTGGGCACATCAGTAGAATCTTCAGCAACACCATTCAGTTCATTTTTTGCTGCCCCGTAATATCTTAGCGATTCAGTATATTCAAGTTCGGCAGTCTCCAATGCTTGATAATATGCATTCTGTACAATTCCATGTACTTTTAGATCTTCAATTTTGGATACTATCTCCTCAGCTAATGCTCGCCTCCCGTGACCCAAATTGCAGTTAATTAGTATGATGTTCGTATGATCAGAAACAGCTCTAAATGCATCAATAGCACCTATAAATGCCATTTCAGCTTTCTTCAGCTCCTTTCTTTCAAGTCTCCATCGACCTAGTTCATTGCAAACCCAACCCTTTTTTCTCATAACTGATTGCAGTTCAACGGATCCAGCTGGGAGTTGCCCTAACGCCTTTCTAGCTTCTTCATAGCAACTCAGGGCTGCAGTCAAATTGCATTCTGATCCTCTAAAAACAGGACCCCCAAGATACTTAAATATTCCACCAGTTTTAACTTTCTGAGATTCCTTAGAATTCACATGAGATTGAGAGGTCGAACTATGAACATGACCGCAAGTCTCCACATTATCCTCCACCTCACAATTACCCACCTCTTCAGAATAACCCACCGAGAGTTTTGTCCCAGAATCAACCATATTGCAAGTTCCTACTGGGATTCGAGCATTCCTTTTTGGCTCTATATGTCGACGGTTAGAGCCCATTCCATCATCAATCTTTGTACAATTATAATCATGTTCACGGTCTCCTGAGACTGAGTGGGCAGTCGAAGTCTTAAAATGGGTCTTTTTATTGTGTTTTCTGCTGTAGACAATTGATTCCCCCCTACTACTGCTAGCACTGCTTCCACTGTTTGCCCTATCACTCTGGCAGCTGCAATTTACCAAGGAGCAAGCACTGCAATTTTTAAATTGCCCAAGCTTCTTCTTGAGCCTATTAACTTCTTTCACAACTTCAGATGAGATCTTCAATTCTCTTGTGGAAAAGTTCTTCTCTGCTTTTTCAGAGGTTTCTCTACCGTATATAGCATGGAACTCCACATATACATCTCCAACTAATGTCCATGTCTTGGCCCAAAACAGATAAGTGGAAGAATAATGATCCAATGATAAGTCATCACATTGCAAATCAACTTCTTTCAGATCTTGATTAAATGATCTCAACTTTACATCTTTATCATTCAATTTATTCTGCAAAAGTGGGGTGCCAACCATTGAGGAAATGAATCTAGTCTCTTCAAGTTCCTGGGGCATAGATCCATAAACAAGACATGCCAATTCTACAACTTTTAAGGACTGATGCAGCTGGCCGTCCTCCTTATATGCTTGGCCAAGAGCTAAATAAGACTCTCCAAGCAAAAGAACCAATTTCCATAATCTATGGTCCAATTTTGATTTTGGAAGCCATTCACGAAGGTCACAGACTTCAATACAGTCAACATCACCACATGCACAGACAGAGATATTAACAGAAGAAGGTAGACTATCGTGCACTGCACCAATATGGTCCATCTTTGGTTCTGAGCTTTGTAGCTGGCGCATCCATCTAAGAGACTTGATAGCTTGAGAAATATGATGTATTGCAGCTAACTTTGAAGATATTGGATCAGCAACAGTCTGAACTACATGTGAGGCAGTTGGAGAAACTTTACAGACAGCAAAGCTTTCCTCATCTTGGGAATTTTCTGCTGCCACCGGTGGTTCTATCCCTTGTTGATCTCTCAACGATATCATTCTTGGAGAAGATACATAGGCTTCTGATGTTATTGATGAAGAAACTTCTGACAACAAATTTTGATGATGTGAATCACCTTCCCCAAGTTTGTCTTCTTCTACAAGGGAGGAGGAACCTTCATACTTACCCGTTTCAGATGTACTGCTTAAAAAGTTCAACGACTCTTCTTCTTCAGCGTCCACAACTTCAACTTCACATCCCAGTGGAGGAGAATCTAATGTTAAATCTAAATCTTCGTCATAGTTTAAAATGAGCCTTGCAAACTGTTCATGAGCAAATGCACGAACCACCTGCTTACCATGGCCTTGATTGTCAGTTATCTAGACATTCAAGTAAAACTTGACCACAAAACACAAACAGATGCAATCATAAGGTACTAGTGGAAACAATATCATTACCAAATGATCAGGCTCATCAAGAAAATCCAAACACTTCTTAAAAAACCTCGCACATTTGGCCTTGTTAGTTGGATTCTGCAAAAGTGACAATTATAATTGCAGCAACCAACCATTTCCAAGATGCAAAAACAGAAAATAGAAGTACAAATCTTCCTCACCATAGAAAGTGAGAGACGGTGAGCTATACGGTAGAGAAGTGTTCCAAATGAAAATAAGGAGTCACATCTCCCTCTATATAGCATCGAGGGTAAGGAATTTGAGTTATCATCGAAATCACTGGAGGAATGGTTCTTGGGAATTAGAGAAAGATCAAAAAGTTGAATCCCATCTTCACCTGCACCTTTATAAAGCTGAAAACATTTGATGTAAGTATATAATGGGGTTGACGCTCCACCTAGAATTCACTTATGATTTATATGAGAGATGCAGAATGAAAACTGTAGTATTACCCAATAAGCCCCAGGATCTTGTTTGCAGTTTTCTTGGAGAAATCTCAAGACAGAAAGGCCATTTTGTTGTACCACATAAGGATGAAAAGCAGGAGTACCGTCATCAGAGACCCCTTTTAATAGGAATATATCATCCGTCTTCAGAAGCTCGTATCCCTGAACAACACCATTTTCATGATAACAAATGGCTAATTCAGGAACACTTGCCATGACATTGTCAAGCCAAGCTTCAAGCCAAGTAAGTGGAGTGACCTGAAAAAAGAAGTGTTAACATAATAATAATCATTTAACTCAGGTTAGTCAACAATACAATGCCCCACCTGTCGGGTAATATCCCATAAATGCAAACTCACAGCAACATACTTTTCATTACTGAACAGAAGCAGGTCACTACCAATAAGCATACGGAAATTATAAAATTGCCAAAACAGAACCCTTAGAAATTCATCATCACCAACACTTCTATGCTTTTCAGACTCTTGATTCGAGCACCTAGGCTTTCCACCAACTTCTGAAACCTTTTTGACGGGATCATGCTTCTTACTTCTTTTACCCTTCTTACTTCCCCAAAAGAAGGCATCTTGTTTAACTTCCTTATATTGGGCACACGAATTCAAATCCTTTGGTGAAACACCGTCAGTCTGCTCCAGGACCTGAGACGTACTTCCTCCAGGAAGAACAGATGACTTAGATTGCTTCTCTGTTGTAGCATGATGAGTTGGAGGACAATCACAAGCCTCCATTCTAACTGAATGCATGGCAAAATTCAAAAGTAAAGATTGTTCTGCACACTTAGATTGATTTTTATGCCTCCTAACCAGCTTTTCTCCCTCTTCAACATCAGGCCTACACTTCCACCAAGAAAATCAATGAAAATTAGCTAGCACAATTACATTTTCTGTGACATCTAAGAACAAAAAAAAATCACAAAAAACAACGATAAAAATGCCGGTGATAAACAGTAGGACTGAAATTTTAACAGCAAAGAAAAGATTACTAAGTACATACCCTGTACTCAGAACAAGCGCTTGTCCAATGCGATAAACAACAATGGATAACCGGGCCTTTGAATAAGGCATTTTAAAGATCTGCTTAAGAATGTCAGCTGGAGCTATCACATCTATCTCATCGCCATATTCAACCAAACCAGACACAGCAAGAGCTTCACATTTTCTGGTAAGATTTGAAGCAACAGCACCCCCGTCCCAAGGTAAATCTAAAATATGTGAATGCTAGTATCATCTAAGTGATAGCAAAACTTTTAAGGAAGTAAAATTAGAATGTTGCAAAGGCATAACTACTTCAAGGGAAATCTTAAGAACTATCAAGTACTGTAGCCGATTGAATGGAACGGAAACTCCGACAAAACAAAAGTCTGCAGACGTAACAAGTTTTAACATGAAAAAGGCATAACTATTCTAAACAAAACGAGAACGGAAGAATACGAATTGCAACCACGTTGCTAGTTAAGTTGCACTTATCTGCTTCCATTTAGAATGGCGCAGGGCGACTATTTCAAACTAAACAGATGTCTAGCGCCAACACAATAAGTTCATTTATATTTGCCACAGGCCAGATCGTTAAACCATTTAGGTTTTAGCTATGCTCCAGCAATGCGCTGTATCAGCAAAAATATTAGCACAACTCATAAACGGCAGAAACAAACCTCCGGCGTCCTTCGACTGGAGTGCCCCAATCGGGAGAATCTTCTCATGGGAGTTTGAAGGAAGTGGAGGTAAATTGAGATCTGTCTCGGTCGGAAGCACTCGATACCTCGGAGCTGTCACGCTTTCACAAACAAAACCGACCATAAACCCGAATTAAGATAAATTCACTCAAAAAATTAAGCAATAAGAAAGAAGCTCGCATGATTGTGATGAGGAATAGAAGAATGAACAGAAAGCGAGGGAAAAAAAAGGTTAATACGTTTGGCGCGAAGGAACTAGAGCAGAATAGAAGGCGTGGAATTCCTTATCAGTGGGAACAGGGATAGAGCCGCAGAGAAACCCACTGGCAGGTTTTGGCCTCACTATTTCCAGTTTTCCGATGCATTGAACCTCTCGCGAGGAACCCTCAGAAGACGCCGGCGACGCCTCCATTGATTTAACTTCAACTCCGATGAGTTTAGGGTTTTTCTTCACGGAAGGTCTGAAGAGTCTCTGAGTTTACAGATATGGCGGTTCCAGGATCCCCGCGTCTGTCCGTCCGTCCGTCGATTGGTGAAATTCGAAGCCGCTTGCCGTTGGCCACCGTAAGTGCAAAATCATTTTGCTTAGTGTTTTTTTCTTTAAATTTCTTTTCTAAATATGAACAATGTTTTACTTTCCGTGCAAATTTCACTAATTATGTAGGTTAAAATTATAATTACAAATTTAGAGATGATTTTTAAATAATAAATTACAAAAATTATAAATTTGGTCAATATCCTTAAACCAAGTTAGAAAATTGGGCCTGAGGCCTAGGTTCAAAGGATGGGCTCCCAAGTAATCAAATTCAAGCCCATATAGAGAAGCCCAATAAATAAATTTATTTATTTTTATTTTTAAAAAATAAGAAAAAATAGAGTTATTTCCAAATTTAAAATGAAATATATATATATATATATATATATATAAGTATAATGGATGAATTGATGGGACCCCACTTTATGGATATGTGGTAGTGCAATAATATATTCCAATGGTGGACAACATACATATGTACATGTATATACATACATAACACACATACATATATATATGTATATGTATATGTATGTATATGTATATGTATATGAAAAATACATTTTAAATTTTATATTTAAAAGGAGGCAAAAGGCATCCAAAAGGATAGAACCAAATTTGAATAAGTGAAGAAGTGTCAACACCATCACAGCTAGCAATTTGGTTTGCATGCCAATTCATGCAACCCTACCACCTCTTTGAAAGATACGTTTCCCCCAAATTCTCTACTCAAATTTAATTTAAATAATTGATGTACTCTTAAAGAAATAGAAATAATTGATTTCGTTTATCATATTTTTTTCGTTCAACAGATTTAAAATTTTTCTGTCCACTTTTTGTATTTTTAATTGTAAAAAAATTACAAAAATTGACGGTGAATATGATCTTTTTATTGGAATTAAATTTAAATTTTTAGAGTTAATAATGTTAATTTTAAAAGTATATAGATTAAATTGAAATTATATATATAAAAGAAAAGAAATGTAGAAGGTTCTTGTAATTGGGGTTTGGTTTATGTATGTTGGGGTTTTGGATGGATGTAAAGAATGAGCAAACACACAGCTGTTAAGTTATTCTCACTTTGTGTGAACGTTGCCAACACAGATTTATAAAGACATTGACATCAATGGCTTTATTATCCAACACCTTTATTATTGCATTTTTAAATATACAAATATTTTATTGCTATACCCATTCCTTTTTTTGCAATTCAATCATAATTTTCCACGTGGAAAACCTTTTTTCTTTATATTTTCATTTTTTTCCTAATGTGCATACTATTTATCCCTCAAATTAAATTAATTTTTCTAGTGGTTTCTTTTTAAATAGAGCTAAATTATTTTTTTTTAATTTTATATTTTATCTTTAAAAAAATACTAAAAAAAATAGGGTTTTAGATGAACGCTTCTATTATTTTGAAACACGTTTGAATTTAAAATTTAAAAAAAAAAAAAAAAAACCTTTACAGTTGAAGGTGTTAATTAGCCTTAAATTTTTTTTTAGGGTATAATAATGGGTATTTTTTTAATGTTTTTTTTTTTAATTGAAGAGTTATAACCATTTTTTTTTAAAGAAGGGTGTTTTTGAAATCAACTATATTTTTAATTATATTTTTCAAAATTTAAACTCAAGAGAGAGTGAGATAGCTAGAGATTTGGATTTAAAAAATAGTAAATGATCTTGTCAATGTACAAATATATAACTCTTTAAGAATTTCATTTATGCTTATATTTATCACGGTATACTGTCCCTTCTCATTAACGGGCTCCTAATATATACGAACGAACAAGTTCTCGTTCAAAAAAGTGATATAAAGATTAAAGAAGACAATAGGCCGAAAAGAAAAAAGAGATGAAATTACCTTCCTAAAAGTAACACAAAAGAAGATGGTGAGTATGAAAATCGAGGACAAAAATGTAATTTACTCATTTTAGGTCTATATATACACACACACATGAAGGCAAGCCATTGCAGTTTACTACTACATCAAAATTTGCAGAAATGAAGCCACTCAGTGTTCTTTGCACTTTCGTTCTCCTTCTCCTTTTCTTGCAGGTATAATATATATATATATATATATATATATATATATATATATATATATATATATATATATATTTTTAATATTTTATTTTCCGGTAACCAATTAATAAACTTTATTTTCTTTCTATATTCTGTTGAAGGGTCTTTCAGAGGCTTTCACTAATGTGAGTATCCTCCATCTCTCATTTGCCCCTTCCATCACCTTTCAAGTTTTGGAATTCATTGGATCAAAATTTTGGGATAATAATGTTGTTGAAATTATTTTGATGACGTAGTGGTAATTTAACATGGTACGAGACGAGACACTGTTTTGGGTATATAGATAGAAAAATGTTGACGAGTTTATGGAAGTTTGAGTTTGTGTGTTCTTTATTGTTTATTAATAATGTCGGGTTTATTTGTGTTCATAATCAAATATTGACGTTGAGTTCAGGTGAATGAAGGGACCAACACGGCAGCTCTCGACAAAAAACATATCTATTCTCCAAAAATCAGTAAGTTGTCATGTAATCCAACAATATTTAAAAATAAAAATAAAAATAAAAATAAAAATAAAAAAAGAATTTTACAAGTTCAATTACTTGTTAAATATAAAATAAAAATTATTAGAGATTTTAAAAATTATAAAAATAAAATACAAAATTTGAAACTTATACTGTGATGGGATTGGATTAGATTGCAAATATGCATGCTCAAGGCGATGCATGAAAGTGAGGAGAAAGAAGATATGTATGCGGGCTTGCGGAAGTTGCTGCAGTCGGTGCCACTGCGTCCCGCCCGGCACTTACGGCAACCACCAAGCTTGCCCTTGCTATGCTCGCCTCAGGACCCATGGCAATAGGCTCAAGTGCCCCTAAGTTCCCATTGTTCTCTTCTTCTACCATATTTTCATTTTATGTTTGGAGCTGGTTCTATTTTATGCTCTTTTCCGTTGATATTCAGACAATTCAAATACTCATAAATGTGGTTAAAATATGCATATATCACTGGTGCCTTTTGTTGTGTCGTTATAAGGGCAGTGAATTATGAATTATGTCTTTTGTTGTGTTCGTTGGAAGGGTGGTTGATTATGTAATTTGTTTTGTGATTGATAATATATGAAGTCTTTATTTTCTTATTTACTTTGTGCATAATAAGTCTTGAATTTTAAGAATGTGTTATTATGTTCCTAAATTTACAAGGAAAAATTTTTGCATTTAAAAAGAAAAGTCTAATGTGCTTATAAAGTTACAATTTCAAGTTAAATAATTTATTAAATAGGATGAAACTTGTTAATTAATCTTTTGAAAATATTCAATAGATTCGAACCCACCATAACTTTGTAAAAGAAAGAAATAAAAAAGAGAAAAGAAAAGAAAAGAAAAGAAAGAAAAGAAGAAGATGAAGATGAAGCAAAAGAGAATAATATTACAAAGAATTGCTAAAAAGTAAAGAATTTTGATTCAGAATATTATTTTTATTGCGCATGAGTACAAGCAAAAAGATGGCCAAAAAAATTGGAACATTAAGGGAACCGATTTAGAAACAGGGAGAAAAGAAGTTCTTAATTAAGCAAAAAGAGATGCTGCTTCCTAAAGTCATGAACATATTGGTTTTGCACGAAATTTAGGTGGATTGATATCATTTTTAGAGCATATACGTGGAATTGAGAAGTTATGGAAACATTTTGTCCTTCATAAAAGAAAGAAAACAAACGTAAATAGAACAAATATGGAAGCTCTCAATTTCCAAATATGCTCTTAAAAAGTTCCAAGAGAGAAAGAGAGGGAACAGTTTATGCATTTATGAACATGAAAACAATGATCCAAATAAGTGAGAACTGGTAATTCAGACATGATTCATGTGCATAAGTTATTATTGGTATAAGAAATTGTGTAAAAGAAAGTGTGATTAGAATCGAACCCAGCATCTGGTGCATTTTGCAATGCAGTCTCCTTTACAATCAACGTTGTAACCCAATACCTTGGGATTACGCAGAAGAAGACTCCTTAGTGATTTGCCTTGAATTCCCCACTCCTTCTCCAACAATTGTACGTTGGTTTTCAGCTCCTGCTCAAGATTGCAGCCAAGAACTTCAGGGAATTTTTTGAGCAGCTTAGAGAGATCATCATTAGAGAGCCCAAGTGTCCTCAGATATTCCAGTATCTCATTTACGGTATCAATATTAGGAACTTCCTTCTTTCTGTCTTCGCCCCAGTAGGGTGAATGAATGTGGCCAAACGCCTTTCCGAGCATCTTATCTTGCTCCTCATCACTAAAGCTGAACATGGACAGAGCTTGCCGACAAGCTTCCCATGTCTTCTTATCCTCATCACTTAATACCAAGCTTTCGACTTGAGCAGTTGAATGGATTTCCCACTTCCTCGGATAGGGACTTTGTCTCCTCACATCCATTATCATATACTTAGCAGGCTGATAGGAGAAACTCACATTTGAACAAACGGCTTCTGATTTGGCGGTGCCAATGCAGGGCTGCAATGAGATTTTAAGAATAAATTTAAACCCTATAAGATAATGTATAAAAGTATTGATTGAGCAATAAGAGTATGAAGTCAATAGTTTTCCATCGTACGAGACAAAAGCTGCTACTCACAGTAGAAAAGCAGAGACGAGTTACAGAATCAACTGTTGATATGGGAGATACCAATGATTTTCCTAGCATCCCTGTACCATATTAACAAGTTTAGTAATACACGTACCATTCATAAAATATGACTCATTTCCCACAGAAAGTCCCTCCCATTCCTAAATTGTGATTAAACATTTTCTTTGAATCAACAATGAGTTCCATTCACGCATGGAGAAGATCCAAGCGAGTTAATGCAACAAAGAGAATTGTTCTATCAAAGGCAGAGTTTCCAAGTTACAATTACCTTCCAACATTAGTATTTTGAAATAACCGTACTACCAATAAAAAATTTATCAACGAGCTAGTAGATGAATTTCCATGCAAAATCATGTCTCAGTCTATTAGGATTGTCAACTTTATCCAAGTTCTGAGTTCAAGAGAGTCATGGGAAATTGGAACAAAAGAAAATCCGACAAGTACTGAGTATATAAAAAGGACCTCACAATAATTTAAAGCTTTACAAGTATGCCTGATAGATATAACAATAGAAGCCCTCGCAAAAATATGTTAACTAAAGGATATAGTGAAATCATTCAAGAGTGCAAAAGTTCCAACTTCCGAAATAACAATGGTATCAAACATTAATAGGCGGCTCTATGTAGACAGATGGCTAACTAGGATCTCTTTAAAAGTCAATTCCACATGTAAGATTGGTGACCATGCTCACAATAGAGCTTTGAAAAGAATTCATGGAAGAGAACATTAGTACGTGGAAAGTGAAGCAAAAGATGGTTGAGATCCTCGGAAGCCTCTTAGAAGGCGTTTGATATGAAGTCCTTGATTTTTGGGACCAAGTTCAATTACATTCATGTGTCATTCAAACAAGAATTCAATCTTACGAGCTTCTGATTCCTATGTTTTCCATTCTGATACAAATTATACGAATATCTCTTCAGTTCTAACCTATCAGACACTATATCCTTTATTTCTAGACATCTAATACTCATTGAATCCACAATAATAGATAAAATAATCTATGAAGACAAATTTGTACGTGGTGAACTACATATTTCATTGAAAAAGATAAGAAAACTGCTGAATTGATCATCGAGGTTTTTCCACCAGTACGGACAAAGTGGTTAGTGCCTCATTCCATAGAATACACATACAATTACACAAATCGAAAAAACAAACAACCACCCAAGTCAGTAATTAGACCATGCTCTACAGCCCATTTCCGTCAGTTATGGAATTGCATGAACATGCAAAAGTTAAGGGATCTCAAATGTACCATGATGTTGAACAATTTCAAATAAACATTTCAATCCTACCCCACATGTTGAAGTAATAAACTATAATTCCTTCTTTTTGACTGCCAGTCGTCAAAAGGTAGCCATGATCAAAATTTTGTTCGTGGAGTTGGCAGAGTAGAGGCAACAACTCCTAGCGAATACTCCAGCATAAACAGAAAGATGTTGCTATACGACATGATGTGATCTTCCAAAAAGTGCACTAGCATTATGCAAATATGCAATGTGAACACTATGTTTTATGACTATATCATGCAGCAAAATTTTCAACCAATGTCTTTCTTATCCAAGAGAAATGGATCATATCATCCGCAATAAGGCAGTATCGCCATTGTATACAAAGATAAACTTGCAGTTCATAACAGGAGGAGCTCGAGCGCTTATATCTGAATATTCTCTTAATTGAATTGAATTGAATTGTGTGCGTGTGTGACACGAACAAAGAGGTTCCTTCGAGATTGGAATTTCGATCAAAACCGAATGCGAAAAAGGAGCAGTTAGCATATCCAATTAAGATACCTACTTCGTTATATGAACGAAACAAGGATTCAAATTTCTTCAAAGAGCTGCAAACGGAGCATAGAGATGAAATTAGAGGAAGAACCTGAAATTTGAGGGAGCTTGGTGGCGAATTGCTCGCAGAGGGAATCAAAGTCAAGCGTACAGAGTTGTGGTTGTGCAGCGGTGGTTGAAGAAGAAACGTCACCCACTGCGAGAATTAGGACGATGCGAGCCACAGATTGGCCGAGACTGAGAGAGCAAACTTCTTGTCCTTTGCTTGCAGCCTATAGCCGTGTTTGCCTCCGCCGCTCCTTTCTTTTCGTTTTCTTTTCAGTTTTTTTTTTTTTTTTTTTTT